TTGGGATGTGATTCTCTCACAGCCTCCACCACTTTAATTTCCCTGAAAGGTAAGGAAGATGCTGGAGAGGACTTTTAGTGTTGCCTCGGCCGAAGGAAGCGCTCAGCCTGTTGATCATGCAGGCAGAGCATAGTTCGCCCCTGCCTAGCTATCTGTTTGGTCCTCGGCTACAGTGAGGCCAGAGGTATCCCAGCTAAGGGTTTTTTTTTTTTTTTTTTTTTTTTTTAAATAAGAGGGTTGTGGAAAGAACTGTCTGCCTTTGCTTCCTCATTCATTTGGTTTATTTGAAAATATGGCAGGAACTGGCCTTCATGAAGTTATGTAGAATGAATGTTAAGAATGTATTTAAAGAGGATTTTCTGCATTCTACTGCTCATTAAAGTAAAGTTTGAAACATAGAATGACTGATTTTTTTAAAAAGAAAAGATTTATTTATTATGTATAGTGTTCTGTCTGAATGTGTGCCTGCAGGCCAGAAGAGGGCACCAGATGTCATTACAGATGGTTGTGAGCCACCATGTGGTTGCCAGGAATTGAACTCAGGACCTCTGGAAGAGCAGCCAGTGCTCTTAACCCCTGAGACAACTCTCCAGCCCAAATGACTGATTTTTTTATTCAGGAAAATAATGAAAGTTGTTTTTGATAATTTCGTTCTAGGAGGAATTAACAGAGCTTAAAGCTGAGATTTCTCTCTATGAGTCTGCTGCAGACCTCGGAGTACTTCCAGGTGACTCAGAAGGAGACTTGAGTGTAGAGCTCACTGAATCGTGTGTGGACTTGGGCATTAAAAAAGTCAATTGGAAACAATCCAAAGCTAACAGGTACTGCATGAATAGTAGAAGACTGTTAATAAAGCTGGTGATGGAGCCATGGGACCTGGGTGGCATCGTGCAGAAGATAAAGTCCCGATTAGAGGACAGTGTGCTTTAGAAATTCTTAATGAAATATAAATGCCTGAAAAGCCAAATGAACAGAAATCTGAAGTATTAATATTGTGCTTGTAGTCCTCATCATTTAGGTAGACACCAGTTACCGGAAGCTAAGGAGGGGATTATGAAGTTAAAATACCCAGATTATGGGGCTGGGGAGATGGCTCAGTGGGGATGCTGTGCAGGCATAGGCCCTGAGTTCAGACCCCCAGCACCCAGCACGGTGGGAGGTTGAGACAGGAGGATGGCCAAGGGTTGCTGGCCACTCAGCCTAGCTCCAGGTTCAGTAAGGGAAGAAAGTGGAGAGTGATAGAGCAGGACACCTGATACACAAGTGTGGGAGCACACACCTGTGTGCATACATGTGCACACACCACACACACTCCACAAATATACAGACTATGTGTTTGAACTATTGAGGCAAATGCCTGTTGTTGTTAGTGTTAGCCTTGCATGTTAAAAACACTTGTCTTGCGTTAATCAGTCATCTGTGAGAAAATAAGTTTGGCAATGGCATTGCACTCTCCTTGGGACCTGCCTGAGATCGTAAATAACGTTTTGGATTGATTCTGTTGGGCATGTTTTGCCTGCGTGTATACATGTGCACATGCTGGTGTCCACAGAAGTTAGAAGGATCTCAGATCCCTTGGAACTGGAGTCATGGATGGTTGTAAGCTACCACGTAGGAACTGGGAACTGAACCTGGGCCCTCTGCAAGAGCAGCCGGTGCTCTTAACCACTGAGCTGCTTCTCCAGCTCTGAGATCTCACTTTTAAAACAGGGGTTCCTTTATGCTACTGTTATTGTAGATATTTTACCAGTCACATGGGTGAGGGTGATGGAGAGGGAGTGGAGAGGATTGAAGGGTTAGTTATAGGTTAGTTATAGTTATATCAAAGGATGTTCTATACACTTGGTGAACTTGGCATCCTTGCTACATGGAAGGTGCTTTGTGAGGTCCTGAAATAGGTTACAAAATATCCAATAGACGCTGTCCTTTCCCCAAGGAGTTTGCAGTTGGCCTGGCTGGAGGAAAGGAGACATACCCAGTAAGCAGCCAAGTGCTGTTTGGTTAGTGCTGGGCTTGCCTGAAGGGTTTATCTGTTCCCCCTGCTGGTTTAGGCTAAAGCAAGTGCTTCTTTTACTGAGGAATGGAGCCTAGGACCTCACTCACTCAAAGAGCTGTATCACCGACTTATACTTCCAACTCTGAAGAAAGTGTTTCTTGAAGCATTGACCTCCGCCACACTGACTGTCCACTGTCCTTACTGAGTTGTTAAATACGTGTTGTGTCTCAAGTATTAAGCAACCGAGTACAAAGCTCAGTCTCCTGACAAGTTAGTTCCCCTTTAATGGCCTTCGGGAAGATTGCATTTTAACACTGCCATTTTAGTTGTAGAGCAGTAAGATGGGATTTAGTTGGTTGGAATCTGTAGACAAATTTCTAAACGGTCTTAATAAAAAACACAGAGCCAGAAATTTGGGTTAAATTTCTACGAGAAAGATCAGAGGAATAGGACAAACCACGAGCTAACCTCACCTCACCAACTCCGCAGCTTCCAGAAAGAGCTTCTTCCTGTATACTCACGTTTATATGCCTTTCTCTTCTGTTCTCTCATTGGCTCTCTTAGCCCAGCTACATCACTTCCTCTTCCTATACAGCTCTGTCACTGTCTGTACAGACCTCCAGACCTCTATGGTTGGTACTAGGATTAAAGGCATATATCACCAAGGTTGGCTCTGTTCCCTAGTGTGGCCTTGAACACAGAGATCCTGCCTGCTAAGTGATTTGATTAAGGGCATGTGCTACCATTGCCTGACTTCTTTGTTTACTTATAATGGCTGGCCCTTTTTCCTCTGATCTCCAGGCAAGCTTTATTTATTAAAGCACAAATAAAATATCACCACATTTCAGCACAAATAAAACATCACCACAGAAATCTAAAGTAATGAGGTGATACTGCAAAAGAAAATGCTGTTATTTAGCTTAGTAAGGCTCCATTTACCTGAGTGTCTTGTCTTCGGGCTCTCATCTCTACAGATGACAGCCTAGAGGTAAGCAAAGAAAAAAATAGTGGAACTAGACTGATGTTTTTGGTGGAAGTCATCCTCAGGCTCTTATCTAGGGTCATGTGACCCATATTTCTTTCCATCCCATAATTACCTGGTATGGATGCAGTGGGGGAACTGCTGTCAGCTTAGCCTTAGCAGAGGTGTGGAACGCCCAGCAGTGGAAAACGGCTCTCAGTGTGAGTGCTTTGACCCACTGACACGATGTTGAGCAAAGGCTTCCACTAATCATCTTGAACACAGACTTTGCCGTGAATGCCTCATTTCTTGTCAGTGCCAAATGAATTCTCAGGAACTAGTGAAAGAGCACAGGCTTCAGATGGTTAAAAATATGCCATTGGTCAGATTTTACATTTATCAACTTTGAATTCAACACATACTTTTTAAAGCATTTTGATCCTCATTTTTGTGACTAACGTTGGCTTTACTGGAGCTCAGAGAGGTGAATCACTTGGCTCAGGTAGTCACTGGTGCCGCCAGGACGTGAACTCAAATCTCTTTAGGCCTGGTCTAGTTTTCTGTTCATATTTATGAAATAGTCAAGCCTTTTGCCTTTAAACTTCATTCTTCTTTATCTCTCTTATGTTGAAGATTAAAGATATAGTTCATTCAAAAATATTTTTCTCCAGTTTGTTATTACTTTCATTTTAGTTTGTGCTGTGGTTGGCCTTGGAATTGAGTGATGAATACATCCACATTGAACTCTTTTTCAATAGACACATTTCATCTTTATCCATTAAAATGAATTCTACCTTTTGTGCCTTTTTTTTTTCCCTTGAGGTAGGATATTGCTGTGTATCCCAGGTTGGCTTCAAATGCACAATTTTGCCCTGAACTCCCAAGTACTGGGATTATTGGAATGCACTACCTTGCCTAGCTACCCTTGTTATTTTTATTTACATAACATTCATAGCCACAATATAGAAATTCTTTTTTGCTTTTTTTTTTTTTTGAGACAAGGTTTCTCTGTGTAGATTTGGAGCCTTTCTTGGAACTCACTCTGTAGACCAGGTTGGCCTCGAACTCACGGAGACCTGCCTGGCTCTGCCTCCTGAGTGCTGGGATTAAAGGTGTGCGCCACCACCGCCCGGCTCATAGAAATTCTAATGTATGTTCCTATAGCTAACAGACTCGGGGCATCTCATCATCATCATAAAGAAAGGACTGAGCCACTCAGCTGGGAAAGTGGAGAGTGAACCAGAGTGGGTAGTTGGTGAGAGCTCTGGAAAAGCCATCAATAACCGCAACATCTAGAGGACGCATCTAGCTCAGAATCCTCTCACACAAAGCAGTTAATAGTTGATTGTCCATGTTTGAGAAGCATTCTCATGTCAAATTTCAAGAAAGAAGAAATTTGTACTTTTCTTCCAGTGAACTGATTTGTTGAATAAAAGGAAGCAAATTTTCTCAGTGTGAGTTATTTTCTTCTGGAGCTGCTTCCAAATCACTGACCCAGGTATCGGTGGCTCCCAGCTTTTATTACCAACCACCACCTCCTTCGGCTACTGCTTAGTAAACTTTAAAGGGTTAGCAGCCTCAGTGTTCTCTTTTACATTCATGGAATCTGAGTGGCTAAATCTGTAGACATTTGCAGACGGCTTCCTCTCTCCATTATTATAGTTGGCTGCTACGCTCAAGTAATAAACATTTACCAAGTGGAATGCCGTTTTCCTTTGGTCTTCTCAGCAGGCTTCATAAGGGACTACAGTTTCTTTGGGCTTCAGGGAACCAGTTTCCATAGGGTGCTGTGGGCCTCGGGCGGAATGGTCACCACTCTGACGTTTTTCCTTTCGAGGAAGGAGGGAAATTATTTTACAAGCACTTTCTCTGCTCTCTGATTGGGCCTCCTCTAGGAGTACAAAGTGTTATTATACAAAAAGTATATTTTACACAGTTCTATATATCAGCTCCCGTGCTAATGCGCCCTGTTAACAATTTGTATCAGCCTGCTTTCAGTCAGAAGAGGAATTATGGAGGCCTCATTTGCTAGCTGAGTAAAGTGAGGACTCACAGTTTACCATACCATATAGCAGAGTACTTTGTGTTTCCTTTCTTACATAACTTTACCTGTTACAGTTTTTCTACAGAAATATAGTTACTTCTACAGAAATAGAAATGATTTAAATAGGTGAGGTTTAATATATGCAGACATGCATATAGAGTATATGCATATATATATATATATATATATATATACTATATCCATCCTAAGACATTTCATTTATATTGTTAAAAATAAATTTACCTAGTGATTTGTTCATTCTCTCTTCACACATGCACAATATCCTAACATTTCATTTAAAATCATCTGAAATCTTTCAATTTCAGGAGGAAAACTTTAATTCAGCTATCATTATTTCTTTATTAGATAGATTTTTTTCTTTTAGAATATTTTGGAAATAGAGATTTATATTTTACACAGTTCTATATATCAGCTCCCATGCTCCCTATTAACAGTTTGTATTGTTAAAGTTAATGGACCAGTATATTTACATTATCACTAGTGTCTGAGGTTCGCTTGGCCGTCCTTAGTATTTCTCCAGTGTCTATAATTTTAGAGTGTACGCTAGCCACTGGGAAACTGTTTAGAAACCTTCATCACTGTTTCCAATATAGAAAAGAAGACACTCCTACTAGTTGAGAATTTCATACTTGCATACACTATTTTGATCATATTTGTCTTCCCGTCTCCTCCCCTCCTGCTTCCTAGATCCACTCCAACCCGACGCCTGTTTGCTGTTTTGTTTTAAATAAGCCACTGAGTCCACCCTGCTGGCCATGTGCTCATGCGTGTAGGGCCGTCCACTGAGGCATGAACCTACCAGGGGCCATTCCCCCAAAGAAAACTGACTCTCCCTCCCCAAAAGCCATCAGCTATGAACAGCTCCTCAGCCGAGAGTGGGGACCTATGAAGCTCCCCCTTCTTGCTGCAGTAGTGACAGTGGTGACTGGCTTGAGCGTGTGTAGGTCGTGTACAGGCAGCCACAGCTACTGAGAGTTCATGAGGGCAGTGGTCCTGTCATGTCACCCCCCACACTAATAATAGAATGCCTTTAAAAAAATAGTCTCATTGTAAGCCTTAAGCTTAATGAAAATAGAGTTGAGTTTAAAGGCTGGAATACAGTTTAGCGGCAGAGCACTTGCTTAGCATGCAGGAGGCCAGGCGGTTCAGTCCTTATTACTGTCGAGAGACGGGAGGGAAGGAGGAAGGAGAGAGAATGGACTTTAGATTGCAGTAGCATGGCTTTTGTTTCAGTTTTCTCGTTGCCTGGATTCTGCCAGACTTCTATGTCCGTAAATTGGAAGAGCTAACAGTAGTTGGTTAGGGTAGCTGATGTTCGCTATTTTTTTCCTCCTCAATATCTATATCGCCTCATTGAATATTAGCATGCCACATACCCAAAAGTCACAGGTGTGAGCTATGTCCGAGTTAAACTGCTTGTATCTAGGCAGAAAGACTAAGTGGGGAGAATGTCTTCTGAGGAATGAACTTTTGTGCAAAGAAGATGTCCTTGTAAATGACAAAGTTCCAATTTACTTATTTTTGATTTATGTGTACCAGTGTTCTGCCTGCATGTTAGCGTGTGCCCTGCTGAAGTGCCTGGTAACCTTGGAGGCCAGAAGAGGGCATTAGATCCCCTGAAGCTGGAGTTAGTGGTAAGCCACTATGTGCTGAGAATTGAATTCAGGTCTAAAGAGCATCACCATGCCATCTCTCCAGCCCCCAAGTTCCAAATCCTTTAGCAGAGTTGGGGTGAAGCTCAGTGTTAGAATGCTTGCCTAGCATGTAAGAGGCACCAGAAAACAAAGAAACAAAATGTTAAAAATACAGTTGGTCCAAAATGCCCTGACAGTTGAGGCATAAAAAACATGATTACCTGTCCGGCGGTGGTGGCGCACACCTTTAATCCCAGCACACAGGAGGTAGAGCCTGTGAGTTCGTGGCCAGCCTGGCCTACAGAGCGAGATCCAGGACAGGCACCAAAACTACACAGAGAAACCTTGTCTCACAAAAACCAACCAGCCCAACAAACAAACAAAACAAACAAACAAACAAACAAACAAAAACATTACCATGTGGTTAGGGCTTTAAAGAATAACCGTGTTTGATTGGTTACTTGGTTTAATCCTAAAACTGGCCATTCCCCCATCAGTACTGCACAGCAAGAAGCCCCAAAGGAAGAGCTTTCGAAGGATGAGCTTATCGTGAAGTTGAAAGCCCAAGTTCAGCACTTGCTGAATAGCAACTCCGTGAAGCGTCGTCTGGTGTCTCAGCTACAGAGAGATCTCAAAGACTGCCGTGGGCTAACAGAAGCTCTCCAGCAGTCGAAGGATGGCTACAAAGGCGTGGAGGTGAGGTCCATGGAGCCTGTACAGTTCAGAAGTCCCTTTGAAATGCCCAGAAAGAAAGCCTTTACGCTTTGTAGATGTCAGTTAAGTTTTTGGTTTCCTGGGGTTCCTTTGACTCCTAGAAGTAAAGCTTACAGGAAAAAAGCCACTTGAAAGGCTGATTTGGCTTGTTCTTGGCATGTAGTAAATGAGGTGCCAGTTAGGTTAAATTCTTTGTTCACAGATGAAAGGAGTACTCTGTAAAAAGCATGTGCATTTTGTTGGTTGGCTTGAACCAACCGTGCTTGAAAATCCTGTTAGTAATCGTGTCCAGTGAGATCCCTCCAGTGGTTCTCAACCTTCCTAATGCTGAGACTCTCCAATACAGCTCCTCATGTGGTGACTCCCAGCCATAAAATTATTTTCATTACTTCTTCATAACTACAATTTTGCTACTGTTATGAATCATAATGTAAATATCTGCATTTTCCAATGGTCTTATGTGACTCCTGTGAAAGGGTCTTTTGTCCCTCCCCCAGTAGGGGTCATGACCCATAGGTTGAAAACCTTTGCCTTAGAAGCTCTGCTCCTGAACTCTCCCTGGCTGTGTTCTTACAGGAAAGAACTTGTCTCTGTGAGGAAATGGGGTGTATAGCACTGGTCAGTACTTACTTCTGAGTTCTGTCTTTTAAATTTTGAGACAGGGTCTCACTCTATAGCCCCGGCTAGCCTTCAACTTGTAATGTTCTGTCTCTGCTCCCTGAGTACTGAGATCATAGGAGTGTGCTACCATACCCCACTTCTGACATCCACCTCAGTATTCTTTAGCCAGTATCTGTGTGGAGATGAGGAAAATGAAGGTAGGGAGTCTGTGGCCCATCCGAGGTTTCACAGTCAGTCTTAGGAAATTGAAGTCACCTTATATGACGATAGGGGTCAGGGTCGTTGCCGGAAGCTCCTGTCACCAGATCTTGGGAATGGCTTTTTTCTTCCTCATTTCACAAACTCATCATCTTTACAGCCAAGAAAAATAATGCCGAAATGAATTGATAATTAAGAAAAGAAAATGGAGCATTGAAAGGAATGCAGGGAGTATATTCCTTTTCTTTTGAAGGGAAATAGTTTTTAATCTGACTATTGCTTTTTTATGTCCTGATTCTTAAGCCAGGAGTCCTGTTCATTAAAAAATTCTATCAAAGTACGTGAGATGTTCTAAGATGCCAATTATTGTGACTTAAAATTTAAAAAATGGTT